TCGACCGGGAATGAGTTAAATCGCAGAACGCTACGCTACATGGTCAGCTATCCCATCAAAACACGTGGGGCGGAGAAGTCAGGATAAACCTACAGGTTGATAGGCTGAGACGTTTAAATGAGATGACAGTAGTTCTTTGTCGTCAAGTTTATAATGGCTTCAATATTAAGGATGAAAAATAAGGTCCCTTCCATGGGGGTGTTTTCTCTCTGTAGTTTTAATTTTGTGGCGCACTTTGTTCGGCCAGTGGCTTTCGAAAAATGGTCAGCACGCACTTGTAGTGGTACTGCAACATTGATTTGGGATCCTGCGTATAGGTTGATGGAAGATCTTGCTCTTCTTTCTGAAATGAAGGAAATTCAAATACATATTAACTACTTATAATTATTAAGTAGATACATTGGTGTACTACAGCTAAACCTGTCTGTGTTCTTACCAAGATTTCGAAGCCTATAAGTTCAGCGGCTTCTCGCACTTCGGAGTAGCTGAGTTCAATAGAATCTTGCCCAGGTACGTCAGCAAAATGGTAGAGCAGAGGACCTAGGGGGCGAAGGGAAGGCATGAACAAAACGATAAACACACCTAGGAGGACAGCATTCAAAAACATTAAGCATAGTGTGTGGGTCGGGGTGTGTTAACATTAAGTCTACGGGTATAAGAAGACCCGTAGACACATTGTAGGCGCACGCCTCCCTCCGAAGAAGTCCACCTAAATACTTATCTTCCGTTTCGGAGGAGCCAGTTACCGCGAACAGAATTGGGATGCTGGAACTTACAAACACGTTGACGTTCAAGGATTGAGACTCGAAGCGATTTTGATTATGTGGACGCTGGGGTTCTTAACGCCGTTTACGCACTGTCCCAAAATCGTCTAGAAATACATTGCCTAAAATGTACGCCGCAAGCGAGCTATTATGACCCCATATGATACTCCGCAATGACGCGAACCGTACCTGTGCTCAACCGTTACGCTCAATTCCGACAGAAGCAAAACACAATATGCCGCGGGAAAGGGCATGCACTTAGAGCATCCTCTTCAGGTTGGCTAGGATCCTGTCCACTCCGCCTAAATAAAAATATTCAAGAAAAACGGCATGAACCAATCAGGTCCCAGGGCAGCGCCGTGTTGTGTGTGTGTCGTAGCCCATAGTTGGATCAGGAATCCCCGCCGAAGTCCAAACTGGGAGTATTTGGGAGACG